TGTTAATAGTAAATAGATTATTTCTAAAAAATTAACTTGTGCAATTTATTTTAAAATATATAATTTATTAATTCATTTAAAACTTACAAACCATTCACTTAACTGTAACATCAAACTTAACACCAAAAACTTAACATAACACTCGCACTCCATCTCTAGTACTCAATACTCACTAATCATAGCATTAATTTCATAATTGGATGGTTAAGGCCTACATATTGCACACAGACCTTGGTTTTTTGTATTTAAAAATTAATTTAATTTATAGTTTTATAAATATTACAATAATCCGAGGTATTAGCATATCACATGTGTATTTCAATGCATAATCTTCCACAATAAACAAATTATTTAAAGTAAATTCATAATAAATACTCTATATATAGGTTTAGCACATATCAGGCGTCGGACATTCGGGGTGCGCCCGATATGCGTTTGTCCTGATTGTACACTTTCTCCAACATCTCCTGTCGGGCCAGTAGTCGAGCGCTCACTCTGTTATTGGCCTTAAATTTGGTGACAACTGGCGGCGGATTCCTCTTCGCATCGGACCCCTCGTCCTCCATATAATCCTCTTTAGGCTCCGGTATAGCCGACACACCGACCGGTGCTGCGCTTTGTTTTGGTTGAACTGATTTCTTAACCACTTTCGGACTTTGTCTGTAAGCCACTGTCGGTAGAGGTGGCGGAACTGGTATTTTTGGTATGGCTTTAGGTGTTTGCTGAGCCACGGGTGCGCCCGAAGGTGGGGGCGGCGGAGGGGGTGGAGCGGGAGTGGGTGCGTCTGTATAATCTTGCGGCGGTTGTGGCGGTGGTATTGGTTTCTTCGCATAATCGGGAGTTGGCTGTGGCGGAGGGGAAGCGAGTGTTGGCTGTGGCGGCGGTGCGGGTATGTCTGAAGGGGGTGGCGGAGGCGGCGGTGGTATATGTGTCTGCGTTGGTGGCAGAGGTGGCGGCACCGGTATAGCCGATGATACGCGTACGGGAGGCGGAGGTGCCCGGTGTGTTTTGGGCGACCCAGCTGCTTTTTGAGGGTATAAATGGCTGGGCATCTGCGGCAGTGGCGAGGGATCGGTTCGCAAGGGAGAGGGTGTGGCGGTTGGGGCGGGTGTGGGCTCAGCAAAAGACCCATTACTAGATCCCTCTGATGGAGTGGACGGCAGGTCAAAGTCAAAGAGAAAGTCGATGTTAGGGGCGGACGACCGGTGCGGAGAACTCGGCGGTGAGTCGACGCCATCCATCCGGACGTATGACTCGCGGGCGGACTTCTTGAGCGGATATAAGGCGGCGATCTCTGGCGTAGACCGCGATTGTGTCGACAGATAGGATAGCGTTGACAGACGTTTGTCGGCCGGAAAGCCGTATTGTTTGCCCGAAGTGTTTGGTCCCAGCGATAGGAAAAGACTGTCCCTTTTGGGCCCATTTCTGGCCTGTATTTTATGGTTTAGTGAGGACTCGGTTTTGAATGAATGCATGTTTGATGAATGGTTGCTGTGTTGAGCCGCCATCGACATCGTTATGGGACTGTCGTCTCCCGTATAACCTATGGGTATATTTCCAGCTGTTATTTTGTTGTTAATTACTTTTAATTTGATTTTTAGCCTTTGTTTATACTTATGTTTTTAAATGTTAGTTCACTTTTATGGCAATATTTTATTTTCAGAAAAATTATTTGTGTTTTACATCAAAACAAATATTATTTTTAGACAATTATCACTCATTTATCACAATTATTGAAAGTGTTTGTTATCACATATATTGTGTGTTTAGACATCAGAAATAAATAATTAACGCGTTATAAAGTAAATACATTTTGAGATTCAACGACAAAAAAAGTCATAAAAGACTAAATAAAATGACATTTCAATTGTAATCAAACGACAAGAAAACAATTAATTTTACACAAAGAATAATACAATTGAAAAACACATGCATTAAAACAATTAAAGCCATAATTTAACAAATATTAAACTTCATGACAATCTTCATAATTAGGAAAATTGGTATTCAATATAATATTACCGTTGAAGACATCGTCCGGTCTGTACTCTCCGTCCAACTCCTGTAAGGAGACGACGGCGTCGTGTATTGTTTTGTACATATGATCAGTGGGTATATCATTGAAAAAGCCCTCCTTAGCCAACATGGACTCCAAGTGGACGTGAACTCCGGACAGTGCCGTCTGAATGCCGATCCCCTCAAAGGCTTGAATTATTTTCTTGAGGGTAGAAATGCCCGAGAAATCAATAAATGAAAACATCGAGCAATCGATGACCAGATATTTGGGTAGCGATTGATTGCTGAGTACTTGTCGTGTAAACTGCACTTTTGAGAGACCAGAGTATGTGATGTTTTGCGATAATTTCTCATAACTCTGTTTATAATCTCGGCTTTTCATCTGCTTTTGAATTGATCTGTCATTTAGAGAAAGAAAGAAAGAAAGAAAGAAAGAAAGAGAGAGAGAGAGAGA